GAGTTTCTAGTGGTTATTACCACTTCGTCTATGTATTTAAAAAAAACTAACATTTTCTATATTTATTTATTTATTTATTTATTTATTTATCTAGTTATTATTTATCATACTAACTAGTCATTTTTTTGTTAATTAGTAAATTATTATTTATTTTTAAAAAATAGCTTAAATTAGTCGTTTCTTTTTTAAATAAAGAGTTAAGGGAGGAGAGAAAAGTATCAAAGATTTGTAGAGGTTCGGTCTAATAATGTGTCTCACTCCTCTCTCCAAAAATTTTTTTTTGGGAGTTTCTACTATGGTGTGAGCTTTTGAAAAGATTTGTCCATAAACCTCTTTATATAAGGATTTGAGTTTTACAATGGCTAACTTCCCAACCAAAGACAACTTTAACTACAAAGATCTCTCAATCAAGAGATTTTTTCACTAGGGAAATCTCAAACCAACTCAAAGCTTTGCCGGCCCTTACGGCGAAGGTACATTTCTCCGGATTAAGCCTCGTGCTGTATTACCAAACCCTTTTAAACATTCTTTCGAGATGTTGAGCAAGGAAAGCGATTGTGCTGTTTTTCACAATCATATCATTCACGTATACCTCTAGTGTTTTTTGTATTTTATCTCAAAATATTTTGTTCATCATTCTCTAGTAAGTTGCCTTAGCGTTCTTTAACCCAAAAGGCATGACATTATACTAATAGTTGGCTTCTTCGGTCATGAACATAATTTTCACCCAGTCGGGCCCGTATATCAGAATGTGGTTGTATCCAGAATATGTATCCTTGAAAGATAGCAACTAGTAGCCAGTTGAGTTATCGACGAGTTAGTCAATGTTTGGGAATGGATATGAATCTTTCATACACACACGATTAAGATCGGTATAATCGACATACATTCTCCATTTGCCTAAGGCCTTTTTTTAACTAAAACCACATTAGATAGCCATTCGATATACTTCATTTTTTAAACAAACTTGGCGTCTGACATAACTCTCATTTTTTTTCTCAGTAGCCTCAGCCTTTTCACAAAATTGCTTTTTTTGTCGCTGGGATACAAGTTGGTGTAAGTCGTAGAGGCCAATAGCTTTAGTAGAACTTGGTACTTGTATCTAATTATTTGTCAATAATTAAAAGTAATTTCTTTATTTATGTTTGTTTTTCCAAAATAATAAATTTCCTAGAATAGCTAGTTCGTTTGATGAAATGTTAAGTGTGACTTAATCATGAGTCCCATTAAACATAAGGACATTATTCTTAAAGTATCGGTAGTTGAGCTTTATGGTGAAGTAGGACAACATTAAAGCATTGAGACTATTATGTGGATAGAATGATGATCACATGTCATGGATTATGGATAAAGAGTTATCAAGTATTAACATACGTATGAATATTAGGAGTAATATTTATACTAGATTGACCTGCTATGAAAATACCACATAAAAAGTTATGCAGAGTGTCATAAGTTATTCTCATGGTAATAGTGGCGTATACCACTCTTCAATATGAAACCACTATGGATCCTAGATCTAGAAGTCAAGTACTTTATTGTTAATCAAACATTGTCCGTAACTGGATGACCATAAAGACAGTTGATGGATACTTCACAAATTATGTTGAGGGACATGAGTGGCCTAGATAAAATTTTCACATCCTGCGTAACAGGATAAATGTTTAAAGGATCAATATTGAACTGGACAAGGGTGACACGATCTATGCCTTGTGTTCAATATAGACATGAGGACAAAAGGATAATTATACACACAAACATTATCACAAAAAGGTTTTGTCAGATCACATGACATTTTTGTGACTTAGATAGCCATGATGTATTGCTAAATATCGTTCACTATTTATCATATTAAATGTTGTTTACTTATTTATGACGTGCTTAAAATTTGTTTTCTACTCTGATTTTTGTTTTATTTACTTTTTTGTTGTTTATTCTTTGTTCAAATTACAAAATTATTTTAAACAATTCTTTTTATCAAATATTTTTTAATTAGACATCGTTATAGTCCAGCAGAATCTCCTTGAGTCGGCTACATTTTATAGATGAATTAACAAACATAGTGATAAATAATTCATGAATGTATTCATTGACATGTGCATAGTGCCTCTAAATTATTTTACTTATATTTGGAGATGGAGAATATATACGAGGTCCACTTTTCAGCAGCTAATAAACTACACATTTGTTGTTAGTCTGAGAATCAAACTTGTAAACTATGTACACAACTTGGGGAGACAAAAGTAAAACAACACAATATTTAAATTGAAGTCAACTCAAGGTTCATTAATGCAAATATTTTCACAAGCTCTTAATTACAAATTCTTACATTTTATTTATTATAAATAATATATTAATAATGTGAAAAAATCACCAAAATACAACGAAAATAGTCATAAAGCAAAGTATAATAAATAAGTGCAATAGACATCAAACCAGAAAAAAAGAGCATTGTTATTTCTACCCTAATTCTTACGTCAAATATTTACATTAAATATTATTCACTATATTTATTTAGTAAACAACATTTTTATCTTTTAAATAAAAAAGTTATTTATAAAATATTATTTTATCTTTAAAATTCTTTTTATAACATAAATATAAAATTTATCATTAACAAATTTTATTATTGCATTAACCACAAAAATATAAGTTATTAACCATATATATATATATATATATATATATATATATATATATATATATATATATATATATATATATATATATATATATATATATATATATATATATATATATATATATATATATATATATATATATATATATATATTTTTATTAAAACTAAATATTTTACTTATAATTCATTAATCAATAAAATACATTAACATTAACCAAATTTTAACCTTAAAATATGAAATATAATAATTAATTTTTACACTCTATTAACCAAATTCGTATATTAAATTATAAAATATATAAAACAAAACAAATAAGATTGGTTAAAAAAGTTTAAAGACTAATTATTATATTTCATATTTTAATATCAGAATTTGGTCAATGTTATGTAATCTATTAGTTAACAAAATAGTAAATTTGGATAATAAATTATAAGTAAAATATGTGGTTAATAACCTATATTTTTGTGATTAATGGAATAATAAAATTGGTTAATGACAAATTTTATATTTGAGTTATAAAAATAATTTTGAAAATAAAAATACTTTTTTATAAATATTAAATTTATATTTATAAAAATAGTATTCAAATATAAATACTGTGAACAATGTTTGAGGTAAGTATTACATGTAGAAATTGATGTAAGAATAACATTATTTGAGAAAAATAATACGACAAAGCAAAAGAACGACAAACAACAAAAACAATTCAACGTCAAGGTTTTAAAAAAAATCGCGGTCGCGTAAAGGCTTTCTTAATTCAGTGAGTACAGGTGTCGCAACAATAATTTTGATCGTTGTAGTGTGAATTAATCAAAATTTATTCTTTAATATAAAAACGATGATAACAGTGTTGATATTGACATCTGTCAATACTGTGTTGTCGCGGTCGCGCGCCATTTTTTAAAACTCTACTCAACGAAAATTTCCATAAATAAAGATCCAAACAACTTAAAGTCAACCTCGCTCGATATAAACATGTTAGATCTCAAATCGCCAAATCATATCCCATTAAAAGAGTACTAGAAACGAAAAGTGAATATCTATCTCAGAACTAAGGCAACTCTATCCGCTGTTGGTGAAGGTAGAAAATAAAGTTATAAAGTCATTTAATAAATGTGCAAGACTTCACCCTAATATATCTAAATTTTATTTTCGAGTAAAAAAAACTCTTATTCTCCGTCTCTTATCTTTGTATTCCATTAGTATTTTAAATTATAATATTTTACTTATAATTTAGTATTGAGAATTTGTAAACAATGGCATTGCTAATTACATTGTGCTTCTTATAAGGTTCATTCTTTTTACTAAATGTCAACTATATTCTTTATTAAGAAATGACCTAGTGGTGTGTATAATAAATGAAGATTCTATGATGTTATTTTGCATCTAAATAGGTTTAGAGCTTATTTAATTTGTGTGTGCTTTAGACTTGTGTTGTTTTCTCATGAATGACTATAAACAAATAAAATAAACAAAACTTTTCTTCAAGTGGCAAACAAGAAAGCAAGTAAGAAGGAAGGTTATATAGTAACACACTTAAGTGCTTTTTCTTGTCACTTCTAATTTGAGATCAATGTTACTATTTAAGCTTTTAATTATTATCTATTAAAAACTAGAAAGTAAAAGAGGAAAAATAGTACCTAGAAGTTACGGTTCTCTTTCCGATATAAATATTTTTTGGTAACTTTTGTTTTTGAAGTACAAAAATATAGTTTTGAGGTTAATGGGTATTGTCCATCAATCAATCAAAGCAAGATCATATATTCTTTCTTGTTTTTAGTAATATTCTTCATTTGTGTTGCTATTTTTCTTTATTTTATAGCCACTGCCCACAAGCATAGATTCTCTCTTATGTGTGACTCCATAGAAATGGATGAAGGTGCTTTGCTTTGCTGTGATTCTCTCTGCCCAAAAAAGGTTTCTTGCTTTTGTCTCTCTATGCTTCTTTTCATGGATTTTCTTTCTCTTAGGCGGTTCTAAGCAAATCTTATAGCTGGTGTGATGTGAACACTACACGTACATAACAATGCTTGAACAAAAAGATATCTAAAAAAACGAAAATAAAGAATATATCAGATTTAAGATTTAAAGTTTAAGGTTTAGGGTTTACAGAATATAACTTGTATTTATATACTACAGTTTGGTTTAGTTTACAATTTCTCTGCTTATTGTATTTTATTCCAACATTGAGTTATACCCAACATATATGTATTTTATTCCATCTCCACCTAACTCATTTGTGTATAAAAAGCCTTCACCATTCTACATTTTATTCATTGCAAAGCCTCTTCTAGAACTACTTGATTGTCTTCAATAGGTTGGTTGGAAGATTGCTTTTGAAAAGTTTTTAACAACAAAATGAACTATGCATGTTATCATATGGGGTCTGGTTAGTTTTTTTCTTGATATCCCTATACCTACCAAGAACTTCTTCTTTCATGTCAAATTTGAATGTGTTTGGAAAGTCAATATATCACTCCATGCATATTGTTTTTTGTTTTGTCAATGATAAATTCCTTGGCCCGTTTGGAGGGTTATTGTCAATGTTTTGAATCGCCGTTGCATTCAAATATGGTTGATGCATCTACAAATGCAGTCGGAGATACATACATAAAAACTTTGATGTCGCAGCCATAATCATAGTTAAAATCTTGATTATCATTACATTTCTTTACTATGTTTTGAAATATTAACTATCTTTATACTTTATATGCTTTTTGAAGGTAGTAGAACTGATAGAAAAACTTTGGAGTTTGGTAAGACGCATGTAGTGAGGCCTAAAGGAAAACATCAAGCTACTATAGTTTGGCTGCATGGTCTTGGTGACAATGGTTTGAGGTATATATGCATACCATCTTTTCTATATTGTCTCAACTATCGCGATTTTTATAACTATTACAATATTTTTAATGTTTTTATTATGAAGCTTCCTTGTATTGAGATTCCAAATAGAATAAATTTTGTTGGAAAAAGTAGTTAATATTTTGAAAGATGGAAATTTGATTTGGAAGAGTATATACTAAGATTCTGCACTAAGGGACCACATATGATATAACTTGATTTACTACTAAATTAAGTAACTTGACATGACTTATTATAAATTGACAGAAGAATATTTTTATGACATCATGACTTAACAATTAATTTTAAGAATTTTTCTTTGAACATGAGCACATTTACCATGGAGTTTAATCGTTTTTAATCTATGTGTTTTTATCTAGTAATTATGTGTTTTAATTCATAATTTATGATTACATTAAGCTTGGTTTTGTTGCAGCTCATATCAGCTCCTGGAATCACTTCCACTTCCAAATGTAAGTTTTGTATCCGACACTGACATGTGAAATTACGTTCAATCAATTTATTTTTTATAAGTTGTTATCAGTATCTATTTGTTAGTGTCATATCATATTCGTGTCTGTATCTGTGCCAACGTATGATATTTTTTCTGATGATATATGATGCAGGTAAAATGGATTTGTCCAACTGCTCCTACTCGTTCTGTGGCTATACTTGGAGCATTTTCATGCACTGCATGTAATGTTTTTAACCTCTCTTGTTTTCTATATTTTAGTTATAACTAAATAAGCACTTTTTAACTGTTGAATGCACACATATCAATATATATATTGTACTGACCTTATGTTTTGTTATATTTCACAATGATTAGGGTTTGATATGGGAGAACTTTCAGAAGATGGTCCAGTTGATTGGGAGGGTTTGGATGCCTCAGCAGCACATATTGCTAATTTGGTGTCTGCTGAGCCACCTGATGGTACTTTCTAAAGCTAAATATTATTAGCAATATGTTGATTTTGATATTGATGAATTTCACTAAAACATCACTTTTTTGTTTATGTAGTGAAAATTGGGATTGGAGGGCTCAGTATGGGTGCTGCAACAGCTTTATACTCTGCAACATGTTTTGCCATGGGAAAGTATGGAAATGGAACTCCTTACCCTATCAACTTAAGAGCAGTTGTTGGACTAAGTGGCTGGCTTCCGGGATCAAGGTATACTATTGTTCGCGTGATGTCTGGTTTTTAATGTTCGTGAGATGTCAGTTCAGTGATAAGAGTTTAATCTTGTACGATACAGTTGTAAAATGATTATTAGTGTCACTTTCGGTTTGTTGACACTTTAGTTGGAAACTGATGTTCATGTAGGAGCTTGAGGAGCAAGATAGAGGTGTCACATGACGCGAAAAGGAGAGCTGCTTCATTACCAATTTTCATGTGCCATGGAATTAGTATGCCACTATATATCTTAATATGTTGAAAGATTGTTTAGGGTTTAACATGTATTATTGTTTGACACTTAGATGACACTCATCCACGTATGTGGTTACATTCAGTCACTTTCATTTTCTTAAAATGTTACGTATGTTTTCAGGTGATGATGTAGTTCTCTACAAATATGGAGAGAAATCAGCTCAATCCTTGAGTTCGGCAGGGTTTCAATATATATCCTTCAAATCCTATGATGGGTAATTTCCATTTTTTTCATTAAAGTGATAGATTTCATATAATTTTAGAACTACTTATTATTTCTATATACTTTAGAGATAAAATTAGAGATAAAGTGATACTTTAGAAACTAAACTGCATCACTTTTGTGCAGGGTTGGTCATTATACAGTTCCTAGAGAGATGGCTGATGTTACCAATTGGCTTGGCTCAAGGTTAGGGCTTGAGGGACCCTTATAAGGAACATATTGTAGAAGAGATGTGGAACAAAAAGAAGGAAGTTGATGAAGGACATGAACAACTAGCTAGAGATTATGGAATGGTTTATAGATTTATGTAATATGTCATGTGTGAAAATGGATTCACTGACTTTGAATTCAATGTCTTTTGATAACTTTAGTTTTTTTTTAATGAGATAAAAGTGAGAAAGAGATTGAGGAAAATAACATGAGATGGTGTGTTATAGAAGAGAGATAGATATAGAGAATGCAGTTTCTGTCATAAAGGTAGAGAATCTAATGGTGTGTTATATGAGTCTTTTTTGCCATGTTGAGATATAAATATCTAAGTAAGTGTTTGTTGTATTATCTATATATCATTATAGAACCTATAGATATTCAACAGTACTATTTGAAAGATTTTGTTATTTATCAAATTAAGAGCTTTTTCTTTTTCTAATTTTAAATTGAAGCAATGGTTAAGAAGTATAAGAAAGTAGTCTAACACACGCTGCCACGTGTTCTTGAATAAAAATGATTATGTTACTACCATTAGTTTAGATAGAGTTTATTTTAGTACTAATGAACTCTCTTTGCTTAGTACTATAAAACTTGTTGTAGTACCTTTTTGAGATGAATACATTCATTCTATCTTTTATACAATTTCTTTATAAATGCATTCATATTATTATTATTATTATTAGAATGTTCTGTTGGAAGCTTTAACAATTTATTGTTAAGTTTGGTATTTTCTATTAATATTATGTCGTTAGTTTGTTAAGTGTATATAGACCAGTGTTTTAAAAACTGAATCAAATCGATTGGTCGGACCGTTCAAACTTTCATTCTTTAATGTATTCTCAGTTTATTGTCTTTCTTTATTAATGGACAATCTGGCTTGTAATGACCGACTTTTCTACAATTGTAACATGACCCTTTTGATTTACCACTCTTGTTACTTTCATTCTTAGAGGACTTTGATTGTCGTCGAAAGTTGATGAGATTCTTGTCCGAGTGTTGAATTCCATTTTTCGAATATATCTACTATATCTTCTCACAAGCAGTCCCAAATCTTCACTCGTATCTTCTTCATCATCATCATTACATTAACTTCCACTATGCTCTTGTGTTGAGGACTTTGAGTTAGAAGCTTTAAAAGTAATATACTTCTTATCCGTGTCTTTTGCCTTCTCTTTCTTTTCTCTTTTCTCATGTTTGTCAAGACTAATGAGCACTTGCTCATGTTCATCAAGCTTACCAAACAAAGTTGTGATGTCCAATGTAGTGAGATCATTGACTTCCTTGATCGTCATGACCTTTGGTTGCCATTCCCTATTAATATATCTCAACATTTTATTAGTAGCAACTTCATTGGAAACAGGTCTTTCAAGTGTGTTTAAAAGATTGATTACATGAGAAAATCTCTTTTACATCTCAGCAATGGTTTCACCTTACTTCATGTGAAAGAGATTAAACTCTTGTGTCAAAGTATTGATTCGAGCTAGTTTTACATCATTCTTTCTATCATGGACAGCTTGTAATGCATCCCACATAGCCTTAGCAGTAGTACAATGGAAAACTCTATAATATTTATCAACTTCCAAAGAGGAAATGAGAATATTTCTAACTTTCGAATCGTAACTATACTTTTTCTCATCTTCTTCGTTCCATTATGCTTCCAAGTTAGACACAACAATATTATTCGCATCGGTCATGGTTATTTCCATAAGACCATTTTGAATAATGTTTCATACATTTCTATCAATAAAATTGATATGCACCCGCATACAATCTTTCCAATAACTATAGTTCTCACCCGTAAAAATCTCTGCTCTATTGTACGCCCCTTTTGGTTCGTTGGTCATTTTCTAAAAAGTTATACATGAAGCACTAGATAAATCAGTCCTCGTGATACCACTTGTTAGACGATGTCAATGATCTAGAAAGGGGTTGAATATATCACTAGTTTTTAACAAGAGTTGGCGCTTTAAAAAATTATTACACAAACGTGCGGAAGCGGCCGAGGATTTTAATCGTCTAAACAAACCATTATTGGCAAGATCGAATATGGGTAGCCAAATGGACAGAAATTAATGAGAAAACGAATCAATATGTTGTCAATTAATCAATACAAACAATGATCACTTTGTATCAACCGATTTCCAATAAAATTTATAAAGTAACAATCAACTTGACAAATTCACAAATAATTTGTGTGCAATCAATGTGTCGAATACTTTGCTGTGCAAAACACCCCAAGTTGAATTTCCAATGAAATGATAGTGCAAAATTTTTCACCATTACAATCCAAGTGATTGTAATGAATTTTCAAAACAGAATTTTAGCACTACACAACAGTGGAAATTTATCGAACAATTAATATCAAATAAATGTAATCAACGCAAAATAAAGAGATAGAGTAAGAGAGAACAACACCAAATTTGTTTAGGCTGTTCCCCTTTTTCGTCCTCGCTTTGGGTACGTCTGCCCCCAATTCTAAAGTAATAGTCACCATACACTTAAGCCTAATTGTTAAAGTTAATATTATTCTCTTCTCTCCTCTTGATTCAAGTCGAATCAAGTGCATCAAACGCTTCTAACAAACCTCCAGTTACCGCTAATTATTTGAAAGAATCCATTGTTCTTCAAACCTTTCGTTCGGCTGATTTCGATCGCAAGACGTTCGACCCTAAATCTCTCGTCACAATCCTCCGATTATCGCTACATGTTTGAACGAACCCGCCGTTCTTTAAACCTTTCATTTGGCTGATTTCTATTGCGAGACGTTCAACCTTAAATATTTCATAACAATCCTCCAATTACCGCTACTTGTTTAAACGAACCCACCGTTCTTTAAACCTTTCACTCAGCTGAATCTGTGAGGCAAAGATTTGTGCAAATATCCTCAAATCTTTAAGATCTTGGAGGATAAAACCTCAGGGTTTTATTCAAGAAAAACCCACTAAAAACTCAACTCAAACTAGATACATAAATTCTACATTTGAACGTTATCACCTCGACAATGCACAAGATCAACAAAAATTGTTATGTGTAATTGTTGAAGAATGCAAGTGTGAGAATGAAAATGATGAGAAAAATCAATGTATATCTTTCACTTTTCTTGTTCTATATGTAGAATAATGAGACAAATGAATATATAGGATGCCAAGACCCTATATCTAACATAACAACATTTTGAAACACAACAAACCAAAAAAATTAACTCACAACAGTGAGCGGTCGACCTGAGCACACTCAAATGCAAAACTACACAAAAAATCAAGCAATGCATCGACCGAAACATAGTCATGCGTCGATGCAAGGTTACTTCAAAACATCAGAATTTTACTCTTTCAGTACGAGTCAACCTATGGGTTGACGTGAGCAGACCCAAGAGGAATTGATTGTTTGATGAACATGCATGCGTCGACGTCTACATGATTGTGAGTCGACGCAAGGTCTCTATAATTTCAAAAATAAGTTCTTTGTGAGTATTTTGGTCGACTTAAAGTAATATTATGTTGACCTAAGGTATCTACTATGACCAAGTGCACAAATATCATATATGAGAAGCTCATATATGCATAGACACATGAACATGGAATATTTTGTGCATATTAAAGACTGAATGCAATCAAAGACACGATGATACCGTCTAAAGTACAAGTACAGGCTAATACAAGTTTTGACATCATTAAAATAAGGACTAAGGAAACTTTCCCTCACATATAAGTATCTCAGGCGAGATTTTTTAACCTTTTGGGGGGACTTCCATCCAGACCTCATAAAGGGCTTATGATTAAGTCTCTCATGCTAGATATCTGTCGTATCTCTCATGAGTGATTCTTGAGTATGGTGTCGCCCGATGAGACACTAGGTTCCTCAGGCAAGAGTTTAGACAACCTAGGGAGTCTAAGTCCCTCAGGAGGAATTATATGGAACCCGACTGATGAGACTATAAACCTCACAGGCGAGAGTTTTTAACGTGTCAAACGAGAATTCCATCGAGTCCTCAAGAAAGACCTACGATCAAGTCTCTTAGGATGGATATTTGTCGCTCCTCTCAAGCGTGATTTTTGAGTCTAGCCTCTCCCGAGGAGGCATTAGACCCCTCAGGGCAGAGTTTAGATATCCTATGGAGTCTAAGTCCCTCGGAAAAAATTATACGTAACCCGATTGATGAGACAATAAGTCTCTTAGGTGATGTGTTTGATAACTTGTTTGTGTTACCGTAAGGGGTGACATGTACCTTAGTTATGAAGTCTAATCTAAAGAAATTGTCTTAAAGGGTGAATTAAAACATGGTTTCCTTGGTGGTGGAATGCAGAATGGTGTTGTACGACCACAATATCTTATTGAGTAGTTCTGTCCATAAGCATTTGGCATCATCAAGCTTCTTTTGGAGTCCTTTCAGAAATACTTTGTTGGTTGACTAAGCTTGATCTTTGACTTAAGGGTGTACCACTAATCGTGACTTTATGTGTTGGTCGGATAGAACTGCAAACATACAACGTATCACATAGTTTTAAAAGATTGTCGAACCCACATGGATTAATAATAAACCTAAAGTGATCTATATTGCGTTGTAAAGCTAGAGCATAATGTCACAGAATAAAACAAATAATTAATAATTAATACTAACGGGTTTAAAAAAAATAACGAATCGAGACCGAAGAATGATTTTCGCGCTCCTAAGAGACTCTATAGATTCTGGGTGCTAACAAGGGTCTCAAGTATAGTTCTGTAGGAATTTCCGGCTTAAAAACACAATCTCACACTCTCGCGCTATTGACCAAGCCACACCTAATAACCCCAAGATTTTGCTCTCGCTCGCTCAATAGTTAAAAGACTTATTTTGAAAACTGACAAAGCTTAACTGAAGCTTAAAGTGCTCTCGCTGTGTTTAAGTCTAGTGCTCAGTGTCTACTATCCGATGATTACCTCAAACTCTCGCTCTATTGGACACACCTTAATACATTTCTCGCTCTCGTGACGAAACGTTGTTAAGCAGCTTCTCGCTCTCATGACAAAACAGCCTAAATTAGAACTAGACACTAAAGACAAATTATAAGACATGCATAATTAACACTGATGGTTTATACAGAGTCCCGTCGAAACGACGGTCCTCAAACTACGGGCCCATACAAATTTAGCCTAAATATTTAATCCTAAGACTAACATGTTAACGTTGCTGGAAATTAAAACGTACATGTCGGTTAATTTAAGAAAAAAATTCAGAATTAAGTTTTCGGGGTAAAATTTTGTTATATAGCAGACACATGCAAATAGTAAAGCGATAAATAAATGCAAGAAGTAGATAACCTGTAAATTGCAAGGAATATAGACTAAATCGAAACTTGTATTAACTTAAACTTCGATCCAAGTATATCAGCAACAACAGAAAAATAAAATATAATAGTGTAACAATTGCTCAGTGTAAACAATTGTTACTATGGAAAGTGAATATATAGTTCGGGTATAGAGTTCGGCAGCGCTTCCGCATGTTCTTGGATATGAAATGCAGACCACTGGTGTCCTATTTATAGAGGAACTTTGACTCCAAGAATAGAGGTTTGAATTCAAATTCAAACCAAAGAAAACTGCTAGAATCTGGCTTTGAAAACTGCTCCCGCTAGTATCGGCGACTGCCGTCTCCTAATGGCGAACATCATTTGCTTGAATCAAAATTCCCTCATTTTTTTAGCATGGAGAGCGCCATTTGGATGAAGGAAGACACATGACGAGCGCCATTCAGCTTGGACGTGCCAGAACTTGTGATTTTCTTCACGTTTCCTTCATTCTTCAGCTCACTTTGATACTTTTCTTCTACATGACTGATATGACACCAGTCAAAGCAAAACAAAGGAAAACATAAGCAAATAACAGAGAAAACGGTAAAGACTTGATAAAACAACAAGTAATAATGCGCAAATTAAATCGAATTAAACGGTACGAAATTGAGTCATCAACCACAGGCACAAATTTTGTTTGTACTTCCAAGTCTTTACGAAAGTCAGTGACCATAGCACTGGAGAATTGGGTCCCATTATCAGAAACAATGGCTCTAGGAAGTTCGTATCTGCACATAATCTTCTGCCAGCAAAAACAACGTACTCTCTCTACCAAGATTTCGACTACAACCTCTGCTTCTATCCATTTGGTTAAATAACCGGCTTCTACTATCAAGAACTTTTGTTGACCTAACGCCAACGGGAATGAGCCCAAAATATCTATCCCTTATTGGTAGAAAGGCCAAGAAGAAGTCATTGGTTGAAGAAGTTCTGTTGGGGCGCGGTGAAGGTCAGCATGTCTCTTGCATTGATCACGCCTCTTGACGAAGGCGATGCTATCCTTCATTAACGTATGCTAGTAATACATCGCTCTTAGCAATTTATGGGCGAGGGCTTTTCCGTCAATGTGACTGCTGCAACGTTCTGGAACCACCTATTTGTAATGAAATGTAATATTAAATTTATGTTAACGATTATCTATGTAATGTTAAACATTTTAATGTTAATTTATATTGTTTTTTCAACATTCTGCCATTGTTTCTAGTTGTCTATTGTTTGACCTAACAAAGTATATTTAAGAGATGTATCTTCGTAAAACTCATTGAATTTTAAATTAAGGATTGTTACGAAGATGTATCTCCAAACTCACACTAATATTAATATGATGATGCATCTTCAAACTAAAATTTGACAAAATAAAAATAATTCACCAATTTACAATAATAAATATATGAAACAGATATGTTCGATAATATATCTCTAAAATTTAAAAATATTTATGCATTTTCGTAATAATAAAGAAGCATTTCATAATTTTTTTTTTCTCTTTTCTTAGCATATCTTATGCTTGGACTAGAGTATAGTAATGTATTTCTTTGCATCTCAAGAAAACCAAAAAGTTGATGGGATAGGATTAACATGACTTACCCATATTTTTCAACTTAACGATTGAATTAGTTGAACTAAAACCATGATCAATTCCAAATTAATCATGAAAACTGCTTGGAGCATAAAAAAAAATCTTATGAAGAACCGGTTCAGGCCGGACAAAATCCAATTAAGGTTAATAGGGTTTTAAAAATTGCCCGGTTAAAAAGAAAATTAAAAATACATTTTTCCTCATTTATTTAATTTTATTTTTTCAAAAAAAAAAAAAAACTGCTTGTTTAGAAGAATCCCTAATTATCACAAAACAGAAACGTTCTTCTCCGTTTCAGTTCTCCCGCCGCCACACCTCTCCAGTCTGTTGCACAGCCGCCAGCCACATCCGGCCAACTCCACCACCCGCAGCCACGTCCTTTCCAGTTCGAAAGTCCAGGTTCGTTTTCCCATTCTTCCTTCACCGTGATACCAAAGCTTTGATTTGTTTAATTTCTATTCGAGTTTTGATTTCTCTGTAGTTTGTGGGTACTGAATTCGTGAAGTTAGGGTTTCTCATTTGTTTTGATTATAAAGTTTTAATTTGTTCATCGTATATAAGCTTAACGTGGAAAATGATGGACTGTGCTTGTTGTTGAGCATTATATTTGTAGTTATCAGGAGAAGGAAGACTCCACTTAGTGAGATAGAGCTTGGTTGTTGTTGTTAAAATCTTTGAACTTGTATGCTTTGTGGGTTGCTGTGTAGTGTTGCCGTGTCAAATAGACAAGGCTTTTTTTTTGGTTGGCAAAAATGCTGAGTGGAAATGCTTGAACTTTACATAGTACTGATGAAGTTTAATTTCTGATGTAGGTGTTTTTCCTACCTCGTTTGTAGTTTGAAGGTTATCTGAGATGGTGAAGGACAAGTTAAAGGAACCTGTTCTTACAGCTTTCACAACTAATGGTGACTATGTGGCCATTTTGTCTGCAAATGGGACGGCCAAAGTAAGCATTTGCCTTCTTTTCCTCTCTGCATTTTATGTTTGGTAGTAATTTTCATGAGATGTTTATGGTAGGATAAGTGCCTTGTCTAATTTTGGTACAAATTTTCAATCATAGTAGTGAACTCTTATTTTAGCATGATTTTGTTTAGCTTCTAGTTTATCCAAGCTTCTTACTTACAGAAAAGTCAATATAAGCTTAATGGTGTTTATGAAGTTAAGAGAGCTTCTGCAAAATTTGACATGAATAGCCAATTTCGTCTTATAGGGTAAATTGGTGTTTACCAAATATTGGACGGTTTGTTACTTACTGTTAAGTCAATATAAGTTTAACTGTGTTTATGAAGTTAAATTAGAGAGCTTCTGAAAAAGTTGCAATGAATAGCCAATTTCATCTTATACGGTAAACTGCTGTTTAACAAATATCAGATGGTTTACTTATTGTAAAGTCAATATAAGCTTAAATGTGTTTATGAAGTTAAATTAGAGAGCTTCTGAAGAAGTTAAGATGAATGGCCAATTTCAACGTATACGGTGAACTGCTGTTTGACAAATGTTGGAAGGTTCCTTACTTTTTTTATTTTATTTTAATTTATGTAAGTGTTTATTGAGAAGTTTATCCAAACAGCTTCTTTGAATTTACGTTTCTTGCATAACTAACTCATACTTTGCCAGTTACTTTACAAATCTTTTTATACATATATGCTTAAGACCAATTCAGCTAAAATGATGCCACATGAAGTTTACAAATTACAGAATGTCAAACAGTGGATTTTGTATCCGACGATTAGTTTGCATTTCTATTTCAAATAAGATTTTGTTGGATATTTGAATTCTTATGATTGCACTTCCCATAATTCTTGTAATATTGATGCCAAAAAGTCGTCTTATATTTTTCAGATTTGGAATACAGACAATGGAGATTTGTTAGCAGAATGGAAGCCATCAGATGGAGATGATGATATCCGTTACTCTTGTATTGCATGCAGTTTCACTGGGAAAAAGGTAGTATGGAATCTTAGGAGTTATGAGAATGGTTTACTCACTAATGCTTTAAAAGGCTTGATTCTTACTTTCTGCATTGTGTTGTGCACTGCATGATATTGTAATTAGCGTAGAAAAGATCAGGGAACTTGCATGTTAGCTCTTGGCACAGATGATGGAAAAGTTCTCGCTGTTGATGTTTCCACTGGTGACACAAAGTGGCCTACTAGTCATACAATTCCCAGGTATTGTTCTCATTTGAATTTATTATTTTTAATGATAATTTTCTACGTATTTATCTTGTGAAGTTTCAAACCATTATAGTGCCACTCAAACCAAGTAAAACTATCCATTTAGATGAGTGCTTTTTGGTTCACTCTAATTTCCATGCATAGTACATTTATAAAAGCAATCATTGTTTGATTTGTTCAAGTCTCACTCGACCTTGATTATCTTGGGCAAATTTGAGCTATTGACTTAGAAAAGATTCTTTGGTATATCAAGTGAATATTAAATTTGTCACTGAATCCCAAAGACACAAATTTTGGTTTTGGTGTATATGAATTCTTATAATTGTGATTTAGGCCTCTTATAATTGTGATTTAGGCCTAACTAATCCCTACAAAACTGGCTTGTAAGGTGAGGATTACCTCACTTATAAACCCAATACCGACCATATCTCTAAGCAATGTGGGACTAAATCCACCCCTTCAAATTCAACACAAAGAAGGTGTTAGAGGCTGCAATGAAGGCAAGCCAAATACCGCAATTTAGACGACTAGGGGTGGACTGCAATGAAAGCGGAAATCCAACATAAATAAACACATACAAATAGTGGAGATATAATATCTCCAAGATAATGAAATTACATCCCATATTGTACACATAATTAACTTACATCCCATATTTAAAAATAAATCGATTTCTTTAATTAGTTCACAAATGACATCCATATGTTGATTATTATACTTTAATATTGAGATTAAAATGATAATTAATTCTAGTATGTAATGGATTGTTCTTACTCGTCCATATACAGTGGGATTTGTGGACTTTCATTTGCAAAAAAAGGACAGCTTCTTTGTGTTGTTGGACATGATGGGAAGGCATATGAAATTAATTCTGAAACAGGAGAGCTTCTAAAGGAGTTCAGAGTCTCGAAAAAGTCCATCTCTTCGCTTGCTTTCTCACATGGTGTGTACTAAAATCATTTTGGTTCTTGGTCCATCATAAGAATTTATCTTTTTACTCGGTAGTTGACTCTTGTCATTTTTCTTTTTGTCCAGATGAAAAATACTTAGCAATTTTCAGCTCTAGACTACGAGTTATAAGCCGGGAAACTGGGAAAGAGGTTTTGAAGTGCCCTAGTGATTTGGTAAATATCATTACCTGTTTTAGATATAATTGTTTACCTTTACAAGCTCAAAGCAATATCATATTTTACTTTTATGTCTTAACAGGAAAATATAAACCGTGTTTCTATATCCAATGATGCAAAATATTTAATTACATCAGATTCCGAGGCAAAACATCTTCAAGTTTGGAAGTGTGACTTAAGTTCAGGAACTGTGAGTACTGGTCCAACACTTTCCTCGAGGCATGCTCCATTGGTTCTTGATTGCCACCTCGGTAGCAATGAAGAAGATGGTTTAGTTGTCTCGGCAGTTACTTCAGGTGGAACATACATATGGAAGAATTTGAATGCTTCTTCTGAAGACCAAGTACACCGAACTAAAATAACCTCAAAAACAGAACAAGTTGAAAGTGAAAAGGAAAATGGTAAAAGTTCAAAGAAAAAGTGCACTTCTATAATTGCATCCAGATTTCAATCCACGGGGGAAGACAGTCAGATGAAAGCTTTGGTGACTTATGGCTCTGCAGATCATCCAAAATTTACTGTCTTAAATATTAGCGATTTAGGGGAGAATGTGGTATTAAATGTGGGAGATGAGCTTGATTCCGTTCAGAAGCATGACAGTCCTTCTAAGAAAGGTCAGATATACTAAATACTTGTTTAGTTTTCCTTACACCCTTATTTTTGCTATCTTTTAGGTAAATATTAGGGGATCTTGATTTTTGTTTCAAATATTTTCTTTGAATAAACATGGAATTCCATTTAGAATAAAATGTCACAATTTTTTTAGTTGGGATACTCTTATTCCAATGTAAGCTTGTGTTTCTCTTTTACAAGTTCTCTATACGTTAAAACTCTTATTTCTGCTTTTCTGGCTTGGAACTGGAAGCAGCAGTAGAAAAGGAAAGTAAGAAATCTAAGAAAAGACAAGCAACATCTGATCCTGATCTTCCAACCACAACTGACAAGTTGAACTTCGGTAAGAATTATAGTAATATTTTAAATTGTTAGTTAGCTCGAGGAAACTTTATCCGTTTTCACGGGTTAGGTCATTCCAAACTTATATCAGCTTTTACTATCAACGTTTTGAGAAGTGTTACTTATCGGTGAAGTATTAATGGGTAATTTTTGTACTGGTATTTAATGTAGATCAACTTGAGGATGTCAATGGAGTCCTTGATGATGATCCGAGTGAGCCAACAATGGGAGAGAAACTTGCTAGTCTCAATTTGGTGGATGAAAAAACATCCAAGAGTGACAAAGAGCAAGATTCTTTGGTCTCATTGAAGCCTCCAAGTGCAGACAGTGTAGATGTTTTGCTTAAGCAAGCATTAAATGCTGATGATCGTGCCCTTCTGTTGGATTGCTTGTATACGCAAGATGAGAAGGTTATCTTTTTCTCCTGTGCACTGAACTGTATTTATATTTGATTTGTAAATTGCACACTTTGTAAATAGCTTATATGTGATGTAATTCTTTTTGCAGGTTATTATCAAGTCAGTTGCGCAGTTGAACCCATCCAGTGTCCTCAAACTTCTTAATTCTCTTATAACCATTCTTGAGTCTAGGTATATACGAGTTATTTTCTTTCTTTTGAGGCGTGCAATTTCGACTACTACTGATGAATTATAATTCTTTCTCTCTGTAGGGGTGCAATTTTAGCATGTGCTCTTCCATGGCTGAAGTGTCTTCTTCTACAGCATGCAAGTGGAATAATGTCCCAAGAATCTTCATTAAAAGTTTTGAACTCTTTGTTTCAAGTGAGTTTTTCTGCCTGATGAGTCGATTAGCACTTAACTTGTCAATTGCTCTACCTCTGTCTTTCAAACTACCAATTATATGCATTTCATATCTTAATGATTATGTTTTCTCCAACCAACTAATAATTCTTTCCTTTTCTATAACTGCGTGCAGCTGATTGAGTCTAGAGTCTCCTCTTTTAAATCTGTCTTCCAACTCTCGAGTTTTTTAGACGTCATTTACGCCGGGGTAAGCATCTTTCTGCTGTCTACAAATGGTTAGCATGAAGTTTATGATCAACTTGTGGTTATGATGCATGGTTTCTTTTGAACAGGTTCTTGATGAAGAGGTAGATGAAGTTGAAACAGTGCCAATTATCTACGTGGATACAGATGATAGTGAAGGTGAAGAATCTGAGGATATCATGGAAACTGACAAAGATAGCAAGGATGGAGAACTATCAGAAGAAGCATTGGATAATCTTAGTGACATTGAAGGTAGTGCTGATGGTATGATGGAAGATTAATGATGTCGCATGCACAATTTTGGTTCTTTTTAAAACTTGTCATAACATGAAGATGATGACACTTAGTTAAGTTTGACAGAGATTGGTATTTGATGTATTCACTGTTTGAAACACCATATACATTTGCTTGTACACAAAGCATCACAATTTTGAGAAACTGATTCTAGTGTACAACACAGTCAATTAAGCATTAGAACTTTTTGAGTTTCTTCAAGTGATTGGTATGTGAAAATAGAGTGATATGCATATTGGAGGTTTGGTTGAAACGTGATGGAGTTCATTTTTTCTTTTCTTTTTTATTTCGATATTATCTTGAGTTGAAAAGGATTTGTTTGGGGAATAAATTTATTCTTAAAGTGATTGATATGTGAAAATAGTTATATTTTTGTTTCTTTTTTATTATGATATTATCTGAGTTGAAAATAATTTTTTTGGGGAAGAAATTTATTCTTAAAACAAAATGAAAAATTAAGCAAAATTTTATTTTGACTAAGGATTATGTTCTTTCCTCTAGTCATCCCAAATTGAGTGCATTAAAGAAATTGATACTGTTGTTAGAAACATGAAGTATTTAATTTTAAAATTTTTAGATCAAATTTAAAATTTTAAAAAAAAATCAAGTTGTAATTTTTAAATACTTGTAGAGATTAATTTGTAAAATTTAAAAATTATTAAATCAATTTGCAATTTTTGTAAAATTTCAGGGATCAATTTGTTAAATTTGAAAAATAGACCAACTTGTAAAATTTAAAATAATAATAATATCCAACATTCAATGGAGTAAGAGAAAATTTTCAAATTCTTTAATTTTAGTTATTATTTCAAAATCAAATTTCATAATTTCATCATTTTAACAATTTTTTAAATTTTTTATTCAAACTACAAATTTTTTTCAAATCATTTTACACTCTTTTAAATTCCCTAAAAGCATTATATTTTCTCATTAAAATGCTTAATCTATACAAACTCTAATAGAAATTCCCTTCTCAAAAGGCATAACAAAACTTCATCTATATTTGTTTTAATAAGTTGTTTTTTATCCAAAATCTAATTAAGCATAAGTTTAAGGTAAGTATAGTTACAGACTACAGAACAATTAATTTATGTCAATGTTCTTAAGACTTCTTCACTAACCTATTCTTGCCATATGATCCCTCATTTCTTAACTCAATTAATGGCAATTCTTCCTCATTTGAATCATTTTCTTCACTTACCTTTGATTCTACATCAGCAGTATCTCCATAAGCCCAACTGCATACTAAATAATACAGTACATTAACACCGCTCACCGCGGCAATAACCCAATAGTACTTGTCGAATCGACCCTTGTTAATATTATCCGAAATCCAACCATCTTTTCCGCCTTTTGATGTAACCCTTTCAACAATGCTGAACAAAAAAGACGATATCACGTATCCAACGGCCATTCCTAGTCCGAAAAGAGACGAAGCAATGCTCGACATAGTCTTGGGAAATTCGGTGTAGTAGAACTCATTTTGGCCTATAGCATTGAATGCTTCGGATATACCGCCTAAGCAAAGTTGAGGAAAAAGCCACATTGCAGACATGTTCAACACAGCTTGAGGACTATTACCGTATCCTTCTGCGATCGCTCTTCTTCGCCTTATTGTCTCGACGAATGCTGCTGTCACCAAGTGTAGAAAAGAGAAAAACAATCCAAGTCCCATTCTTGACTTGGCACTAATCCTAACTTGTTTGCCAAGTAACTTCGAGGCTAGTGGAATAAAGACGCGATCATAAAGAGCTATCCATATAAATATTGTGAATATCATTATTACAGATAGAGAACCGGCTGGAACTTCGAAGTTTCGAGTGATGTGTCTGTTCAAGGATTTCGCTTGCAGCAATCCGAACGAGCCTCCAATGTTAAGCGACATCATGATACTCGTAGACCACAAAGGAATGACTTTGATAATAGCTTTGAATTCTTCTACTTGATCAATTGTGCATAAACTCCAAGGTTCCGAGGCCGCTACATCGGACGCTATATCTTTTTCTGGACTTCGAACTAAACAAGCTTTATTCAAAAACCTATAAAACAAAGCATTACCACAAAGTTCGATATATTGATTCATCCACTGAACAAACAAAATATAATATAATGTGAATATGTGAGTGATTCAATTCAACCTTAGTTTATCAGTTGGAACGATATGTTCAGAATCCTTCGATCGATGATACATTCCATCCGATTTCTTAGGTGGTAGTCGAAGCTTCCTGTTCTTATAAGCCGCAGCAACCACTTGTAAAAAGCCAGTGAACAAGCTGCTATTTGTTTTATTCTTTACATAAAGTGGAGAAGCGAGAAAAAAGAAGAAAGTTGAAAAGAACATAAGTGCTGCAGGAACTCCGAAACCGAGTTTCCATCCGAGATGATCTTGGATATAAACTATTCCTGTGAAAGCAATTATGACAGAAATAGCTGAGGTAGCATAATACCAGCTGAAGAATATTTCCAAGGCTCTCTGGTTATTAGGATTGTCTTTTCTATTCACCTGGTCCGCGCCGAATGCTATGGAGCATTGAAGACCGCCGTTTCCAATGGACATAAGAGCAAGGGAAGAAATTAGCATCGTCATTTGTGCGGTTGTTGCAGATATGCATTTTTCAGTTGCTGGATTGCAAGGAGGAGGCCTTGCTTGTGGGATCATGGCTGTTAGCCATAAGAGTACCATTCCCTGTCACCAAAATGTGAAAAATTGAGTTGTTTTTCGATACAAAATCATTTAGATTGTTTGGTTCAAACGAGGAGAGGAGAGATAAGCCTAAGGTGTTACAAATAAGCTATGTAACACCATACTTCAGTTTGAAGATGTTTCTGATGTCTAACACCAACACGAACATATGTAGTTACGTTAAATCACCGACATTTCAGTTTGAAGATGCTTTCAATGTGTAACACCAACATGAACATATGTAGTTACATTAAATCAGTTTCATTTTCTCAAATTACTATAAGCAACTTCGTATCAATGTCTCTGTCATTACTAGTGTTCATGTCTGCGTCAGTGTTTCTTAACAAATAAGCTATGAAGCACAAACACCTATAGAAGAAGGTATGTCACGGTGTCTGATATGTGCCGGTGTCCGTCACTTGTATTACACTCTACGAAATTTCTTAATAAATAAGCTATGAAGCACAGACACCTATAGAAGAAAGTATGTCACGGTGTCTGATATGTGCCGGTGTCCGTCACTTGTATTACACTCTACGAGATGTGTCAAAAAAGTCATACAAGTGTCAAATAAGTCAGATAAGTATCCCTCCAAAAAATTGATTTTTTTATTTACTTCGACACTCTTTGAATCGGTGTCTGACACTGATATGACCCTCATCCAACACATGCTGGAGAATTGAGACCAATGTATCGGTGTCTCGGTCTGTATTGTATCCCGATGTCCGTGTCGGAAATAAGTCAAAAACATCTTCGACACGGACACTTAAGTTAGTTATTCACATGATTATGATGGAAACAAAATAGGAAGGTGTCTACTTACCATGAAAGTGATGATGGAACCTAAACCAACAGCAAGGAACCGACCAAGATGAGAATCAGCAATGAAAGCACCAATAAGAGGCATGAAATTGGTGGTAGCAACAGATAAAAGGAGTATATGAGTAGCTTTAGACAAATGTAGATTATAACTTCCCATCAAATAAAGTATCATATTTGGCAATAATCCTAATGTTGCAACTCTAGCAAGTGATTCATTTGCTGCAAAATTTACACATTAAAACATTAAATAACAGTTAATAGTTAATTCCAATATGAAACATAAGAAAATAAAAAAAAAAAGCACCTATGATGAAAGGCATGGTAATGAAACCACCCTTGTTGTGTATTTGAGGTTGTGAAATGATGTCTTTTTGGAAACCTATTTTGGTTTGAGGAACTGAAGAAAGTTGTATTTCATTTTTATGATCCATCTATGAGATTCTTTGTTGAAATTGCTTGGAGTGAAGAAAGAAGAAAGTTGATGTTTGATGTTAGATTGTTAAAGTTCTCCTATGCAAAAAAACACGGATGGAGTCTTTAGAGTTTGCGATCTCGTTTTTTAAAATGGTCAACAGACCATTCTTGTCTCACCGTTCCGACCATCTTCTTTTCCCTCTCGTGCTCCTCGAGTGCGTGTTATATATATATATATATATATATATATATATATATATATATATATATATATATATATATATATATATATATATATATATATATATATATATATATATATATATATATATATATATATATATATATATATATATATATATATATATATATATATATATATATATATATATATATATATATATATATATATATATTTAAAATTATATTTTAAATCTCTTATTTTTTAATAATATATTGAAAATTTATTTTACTAACTAGTTGGATTTAATTAGGAAAAAAAGTAGATTAACCTATTTTATTTTACAAGTTATTTTAATAAAATATAAACTGCTTCGGTTGATTTTAAGTTCGCGTCATGGTGACGTGATTATGATGTATTGTTCGCTTTTGATGTGAGAACTCTTACGATTCTATCATTTAGAAAATGCGTTTTGTTAGATTGAAATGTATGTGTTTATACAAATTATCCTTAATTTCAATTTTCTAACAATGTAAGACTATTTTGATCATTCCAAAGCGTAATTAATAATAAGAAAAATAAAATTAATTAGATCTATTATTTTTAATATTTCTTTGATATATATCAATTATTTCAAGTTTGTTTGTAAGGTTGTGATTACTAAATTCTTTGTTAACACATCTCTAAGTTAGAGTGTAGGTTTTAGATATCAATTTACTATTAATTTTTTTTAATAAAATTGTTCCGTACTAGGATAGAGGTTGTCACACCGTCGGACACGGTCTAACCCAACTCCTCGTCGGGGAGGCCTAATGAAGGCTCAATCCATCAACGCGTACGGGAAGCTCTCACACGTCTCATCCACGATCTCCACGTGCTCTTCACACGGGGCAGTTGACACAAGACGTAGGGCACATGCTGGTCTTCCCTACGCCACGTAAGCCCTGACAGTTACTCGTATTGAGTCTTGTCATCCAACCTAGTGCAAAGTAGTCGTTGGCCTAGCGTTGGGGGGCACATTATAAATACCCTCTTTCATTAAACATATTCCAGTTCAATTCTAAACATATACTATTATAGTCGAACACCTTATACCATTGATTCAACATCTATTTCTTCAATTACCATTATCATCAATCACCAACATCATGATAACATCAATTAGCAATCACATTATATCATCAATATAACCTTAACACAACATCAACATATCAGAATTACAAAAATTTACAGTATCAATCATGACAAAATATTAAACCACAAGCATCACACATAGTTCTCACAAACATGGAAATTTTTGCTTAAATTCTTAGGGTCTCATATTCATTCTTAGTAAACATAAACCTAACATATATTAAAGGAAACCCCACAATCTCATTGCCAAAATATCGATTATAGAATATCTTCCCGCTTACCTCGGTTATGCTGAAATTTCTTGAGTTTTTGGTGATGGAAGAACATTGTCCTTGCACAACTTGATGTTATGGTTTTCTCTCTCTCTCTCTCTCTCTCTCTCTCTCTCTCTCTCTCTCTCTCTCACACACACACACACACACACACACACACACACACATGTAGGATTTCCCCCTTTTTCATCCTCTCTCCTTTTTTTTATAACAATTAATTCTGATTTACTTTTAATTCTATTTAACTCACTTAATTTTTTAGTTTTTTTATCCCTTGACTTCCCACTAACCTATGACTTTTCAACTTCCCATTTATTCTTATAAATTTTCCACTAACTCTTAATTTCTTAGATAGTTTTAACCCTTCATACTCCTATTATTTTTAATAGTTTCTTACTAACAAATTCAACATCCATATTTTATTTTTTCTAAATAATAACACAATAATAATAAATCATTAAACAAAAAAAAATCTAATTTAAGGAATAAAATCTAAATAAAAATTTTGGGGTGTTACAATGCTCCCCCTGAAGTGGAATCTCTTTCATCCATATACACTTGTACTATCATTTGAGAATCACATGAGACACGCTTCCTGTCCACCACCTTGTCAAGAAGATTTTTGATACAAGGAGTCGGTCCCTTAATTAAACCAGACTCTGATACCACTGTAAGGTCATCAATTTGTGGGTCAACATGATGGAGTCTTTTTTCATTGAGGTCTTTCTTTGTGAGCAACACACCTTGTGAGAACCCACCCACCCATAACCTTAAAGTTTTGGTTGAGTATGTGATGTGTCTCTCACGAGGTGTGTTACTCATAAACAAAGGCCCCAATCAAGAAAATGTTCCCTCAATATTGACCCCCTAAACTGCTGACCTTATAATGTAAAGGGAAAGAAGAGTTTGCCCATGGATGGAACTTATGAAGATCCATCCACCCATGTTAACTCCTTTAGTCTCGTAGAAGGAAAATAATATGTCCTCCATAAAAGTAATATTGAGACCCTAACATAAGATCTTGAAGGCCAGATAAATGCCCAATATTTTATAAGTAGCTATGAAAGGGTAACATTAATGACCTTTAGGATTTCAAATTTCAAGATGGTTAAAGGAACACCAACTCAGAAGTCCCTGATCAACTCAATGTAGAAGTAGAAGTTCCCGCCTCATCCCCCGAGGTCATCGCATACAGTTCTTCTCACAAGGAAAACATGGCTCCAGGATTACGTTAGCCTCATTCTCGATGTTGGGTAACTCTAAGTCTAGTTAAAAGGCTTGAATCCAATCATCTTCTAAATAGATCGAATCATTATTTATGGCCCCTTCATAGAAGGAGCTCAGTCTTGAGATTTTGAGCACCATGGCAGAGTTAGCCAAACTTGAGGAAGAAGACACTAAGTCAATTTCATTATTACAAGGTGACCCTCCCTTAGAACTACCACTAGACGAGCTTTCATAATTACAAAAGAGCTCAATTTCTGCGAATATCCAATTTATTTTCCCTATACTCCATCTCGAACTTCACAAGCATCTATTCCATAACTCTCATACATCAACGTCATTTTGAGACTTTTTGACCATGTCAACCGAGTCGCTCACTCGAATAAACATAATGAAAGAAGAAATAAGGCATTACCCGAATTTGTGAGCTTTTTGTCGAAAATTTGAAACTTCAAAGAAATAATGGCGTAGAGAAGCCTGTTGAGTGTTTATGGATTAAAGAGAGAAGATGATAAAAATGAGAGTGTAGGAACCCCTTTTATAAAATATGAGCGACATAAAAAGTGATGACTATATTTGTGTCTATCTAACTACGACTGTAGGAAATAGGTTAGGACATGAGTGGCTCCTATTCTCAAAATAGTTGGTCATCACCACAATTAGAGGAAGTGAACCAGTCCAATGACCTACAGACACTGGTTGATCATAGTCCAAATCCAATAGATTTTGAGAAATAAGGGCCAACCCACCTGAAAAGTAGATCCATCGAGACTCACCAGTTGATGGCTACCTAGTCTCGGAAAAACACTTTGCCCTTAGACGACTCATACTTGAGGGGCTGAGTACATGCCTATTCTCCTGGAGAACTTTAGTGAAACACTCTATCCTTACAAAACTCATACTCAAGGGGCTATGTACATGTTAGATCTCTTGAAAGACTTTAGTGAAACACCCTATCCTTACAAGACTCATACTCAAGGAACTATGTACATGTTCGTTCTCTTGAAATACTTTAGTGAAACATTACACCCTTATACGACTCATGCTTAAAGGGATGTGTACAAGTTCAATCTCTCAGACCGAGTTCTATAGTCGATTGAAGTCAACTCAAGTCTAGTAAAGCTCGTCTTGCTTGAGGTAGTTTATCTAAATGAGCGCGCATAGGTTAAATAACTAAAAGTCAAAACTGATTATGTTAGAATAAATCTGACAGATATTAATATCTGATGAAGATATGATTGAGAAGACATTTATTAATAACTTTTTTTACGCCTAACTCAAGGATGTTTTGTGATCGAGAAGAACTATATAAATACCATATAAATACCGTTTGCTTTAGACATCAATATTTAATTAAGTTTTAATAAAACATGATATTTATAAAATATTTGATCGGTCACATATATTTTAATTCATACAATGTGGAAGACTTATTTTTATTGAATATTTAGAAAATTTCAATTCAATTGAACAAAATGTTAATAGTTATTGTAATTTTGATTTGTTGTTCAAATATTTAATTTATTTTGTATTTTTTTAATGTAGATGATGATAAATAGTTGCTATATCTTATTTTATATAGTTATCAAGCAAAAATATTGTTCATGTTTTATTTATATTAATCAATAAAAATTTTGCATGTGATTATTTTATATTAATCAATTAAAAATATTTGTCCAATATTTTTTAATATAACCATAACAAATATATCAACTATGAATATGTGTATTATGTTTTCTTACCGACAAATATATATCCCATATTTTCACTGTCCCTTCACTTTTAAGTTCATGAGTCATGCATTCTTCTTTGCGCCACATACAGACATCAAGTAGAAGTATCTCTCTTCAATCATTATGATATAAAGTAATAGCAACTTGTCAAAATTTAACAGGTTGGTCCCTGCATTTACACTTAAAAATTATAATAGCACTCAAGTTTATAACCATCTCTGTGAGGGACACGTAGTGAGCACGTGTCAACAAGTTGAACACGTGGTTATCATACAACACTCATGAAATACTATAAATAGAACACAAATGATACTTAAACGTCACAACAACAAAAAGTGCTTGATAATATAACCATAAGAGGAAAGTTTCTATAGTGAGTAAAAAAACAGTTCCATTTTGAGAAGAAAAAATGGCATCACACGACCAGAGCTACAGAGCTGGTGAGACCATGGGACGAACTGAGGTAACATAATGTCACTTACAATTTCATTATTCCCTTTTTGCCCTTTCCTATTTTTTTTCATCATGTATATTTTTGTTGAAACTGTGGATCAGGAAAAGACCAACCAGATGATGGGCAACATTGGAGACAAAGCCCAAACTGCAAAGGAAAAGGCCCAACAAACGGCCCAAGCTGCAAAGGAGAAAACCCAGCAAACAGCCCAAGCAGCTAAAGACAAGACCCATCAGACAGCCCAAGCAACAAAGGAAAAAACCCAAGACACATCTTGTGAAGCTAGAGAGAAGGGGTCAGAGATGGGCCAGGCCACCAAAGAAAAAGCCCAATCAGGAAAAGACAACTCACCTGGGCTTCTGCAGACTACAGGAGAGAAGGTGAAGGGTGTGGCCCAAGGTGCTACTGAAGCAGTTAAGAATACTTTGGGGATGGGAAATGATGATCAAAACAAGGACAATTTTCCAACAAACCGTCGTTGAATTTTTAGAATGTCTTAATAATGTTGTAATTCGCTTGTTTTGAGTTTGGATTTACCAAACGTGCTTTTTTTTTTAAGAATAAGTTGCGCTTCCCTCTTGTCTATACTAAGAGAGGGAAATGTGTTTATGTACTATACTTTCTACTTTCTTGTCTGAAACTTGTTGTAATAATAATGCTATAATATTTTCATTAGAAGTTTCTATTTAACCACACATCAAATCTCTAGTAAAAGTAATATAATCAACTTTATATATTAGGAATAATAAAGTATTAATATATATTTGAGTTGTTTTCATATGAATGATTAAGAAGGTGATGAGTAGAAATATATGTCGAGTTAGTTGTCCAAGTTTGCTTTATGTACCTTTGAGAATAAGGGGTGGTTTGTGTATTATTTAATGATAGAAACGTTTAGATTTTCTCTAGTCTGTATCTTTATTTTTTGTATTGAAGAATGGTGTCACTAGTTTAATCAAGTGGCAACAAGTGCATATATTGTTATGGTATATCCAATTTTGACCAACCAGAGATCACACAACCTTTGTTCATAAAGCTCATGACAACATGGTAGGTTTCACAGTGGTAACAAATATCACAAATTATAAGTTTCTCTTTTTCTGTATGTAAGTACTCAATGTTATCATGTAGGATCCAACGTAACTGAACATGATATTTTCACTCTATCAATCTGGCACTCAACTTTGTTTAAAATTCAACTCATAATTTACGCATTTTAAATCTAAAATTGGATTTAAACTCGTTTAAATACAATATAAATATCTCACACTTTGCCGTTATACCTAAAATATAATTTAAATTCATCTGAAAATAGAGTATATTTGTGACAATTTACGTCAATTTTATCTGTAACATCTATTATTTCTTAAATAGGGTATAATATACTCTCTTTTTACACATGTTTTAAAATGGGTTTAAATTCTTCATATATTTCTCACCCGATGAATTTACACTCAAACATAATGGGTGTAATATGTCTAAAAAATGTATGTAAATTCCTCTTTTTGTACTAGTGTTTGATTCAAATCATATAACTATTTGATTCGAATAAGATAAAACTGAATTTTTTTTTGTTTTTCTATATAACTCTGATTCGAATCACATGTTTTTGTGACTCGAAATATGTGATTCAAATCAGTATTATAGAGAGCTCATGGACTGATTTCATGTTACCGTGATTCAAATCACATGAATGTCTGATCCATAACACTTTGATTCAAATCAAATAACTATTTGATTCAAATAAGACTAAATTGAATTTTCTTTGATTTTTTTCTTGTAATTCTAATTCGAATCACATGCTTTCATGACTCGAATCATGTGATTTGAATCATATAATCCTTAACTCGGATCACACACATGGGTTTTTATATGTTCATGGCTCTTGATTATAATTACTTGATCTTTTGACTCAAATCATACATATTTCTTATGTGTTAGATCTTTTGACTTGAATCATACACTATTTTTCACAACTCATTTGTTCTCTCATTTTCAAAATAATTTTGAATATGTTTAAATTATTTTGAAAACGACTTCTTTCATCTTCTTCCTCATTTTTTTTGTCATTTTCGTGTGGAACTAAATCTCACATTTTGAGATGTGTGATATTTGATGATATTTTGTTACTGTGAGAGTTACAAAAAATAATGAAGAAGATGTTACATGATAGTAAAAGAGGACAACAAACATTATCAACACCATTTAAACTTAAGACTCGAAGGGACGCTTCTTAAATAATTCTTAAAGGTATGATAGGTATGAAAAATTTATAATCTAAGAAGAATAGGCAGATAACAAATATCACCCTAAATACCATATGTTTGTGATTTCACCTTACTTGTCTCAAGAAGATTAACCAAGTCAGGAACATTTGGCACCTGTTGTGGGGCCTCGATAAAACTTTTTCTGGCCTCACAAAAATACATTTCACCATACAAACATGATATCTAGACTATTTTCTAGCAGGAGTGAACCTCACACTCCACCAGACAAGGCACAACTCCTTACAACAAATCTTTGCAAGAAAAGTGTACACACACTTCAGCAGTCGCAAAACACTAAGGAAGATGAAGAGAAGGAGGAGCTTCTTGATCATCAACCTATTTCAGGGGTAATTTGAGGCAATCAAGTCCCATAAAATTTTAAACCACCGCCTTTGCCATCCTTCGATGGCAAAAGTGATCCACAGAAGCATATAATCTCAATTAATAATCAAATGACAATAGTCGGAGCTTCTAACTCATTGAAATAAAAGCTTATGGCGGGAACGTTCAAGGAAGTGGCATTACTCTGGTACATGAGCCTATCCAGATTATCAATCATTGGTTACCAGGATCTAACCAAGAAGGTGGTGAAACATTTCTCTGCCAGCAAACATAGAAAGGTGACCACTACCACTTTATTCAACGTTTGTCAGGGAACATCTAAATCCCTTTGAAAATATATGGCACGATTCAATGAAGAAACTATAAAAGTCTCTCATCCAAATAAAGAAATGCTTGTGGGAGCCTTCCAGAACGATCTAAAATCTAGTCATTTCAATGAATCATTAGCACAAAAGTCGGCCACTAGCATGGAGAAAGAAATGAATTTAGCATAATGTTATATCATTGGAAAAGATAGCAATATGGTGAAAAGGTCCCGAGATGCTGAAGAAAATATGCAATCTAGGCATGAAGGAATTGGGCCCAAGAAAGAGCACCACAAGTAAGGTATAAGAGAAAGGTCGACGATATGTGGTATGACAACTTCACAAAGAACTTTACCCTAATCCATAACACTTTGATTCAAATCACAAAACTATTTGATTCAAATAAGACTAAATTGAATTTTCTTTGATTTTTTTCTTGTAATTCTAATTCGAATCACATGCTTTCATGACTCGAATCATGTGATTTAAATCACATAATCCTTAACTCGGATCACATACATGGGTTTTTATATGTTCATGGCTCTTGATTATAATCACTTGATCTTTTGACTCAAACCATACATATTTCTTATGTGTTAGATCTTTTGACTTGAATCATACACTATTTTTTACTCATTTATGTGCTAGATCTTCAGAACATATAAAAAGTTTATTCACTCAAAACCTCTCATAATGTTGGAAAACGTACACCTCCATTATTGATTTGAAATTTCACAACTCATTTGTTCTCTCATTTTCAAAACAATTTTGAATATGTTTAAATTATTTTGCAAACGACTTCTTTCATCTTCTTCCTCATTCTTTTGTCATTTTCGTGTGGAACTAAATCTCACATTTTGAGATGTGTGATATTTGATGATATTTTGTTACCGTGAGAGTTACAGAAAATAATAAAGATGTTACATGATAGTAAAACAGGACAACAAACATTATCAACACCATTTAAACTTAAGACTCGAAGGGACGCTTCTTAAATAACCCTTAAAGGTATGATAGGTATAAAAAACTTATAATCTAAGAAGAATAGACGGATAACAAATACCACCCTAAATATCATATGTTTGTGATTTCACCTTACTTGTCTCAAGGAGATTAACCAAATAGTATTTATCAGGAACATTTGACACCTGTTGTGGGGCCTCGATAAAACTTTCTCGGGCCTCCCAAAAATACATTTCACCATACAAACATGATATCTAGACTATTTTCTAGCATGAGTGAACCTCACACTCCACCAAACAAGGTACAACTCCTTACAATTATGGAGAATTTGCGCCAGCATAACAAATCTTTGCAAGAAAAGTGTTCACACACTTCTACAGTCGCAAAACACTAAGGAAGATGAAGAGAAGAAGGAACTTCTTGATCATCAACCTATTTCAAGGGTAATTTGAGGCGATCAAGTCCCATAAAATTTCAAACCACCGCCTTTGCCATCCTTTGATGGCAAAAGTGATCCAGAAGTATATAATCTCAATTAATAATCAAATGGCAATAGTCGAAGCTTCTAACTCATTAAAATACAAGCTTATGGCGGGAACGTTCAAGGAAGTGGCATTACTCTGGTACATGAGCCTACTCAGATTATCAATCATTGGTTACCAGGATCTAACCAAGAAGATGGTGAAACATTTCTCTGCCAGCAAACATAGAAAGGTGACCACTACCACTTTATTCAACGTTTGTCAGGGAACATCTAAATCCCTCTGAAAATATATGGCACGATTCAATGAAGAAACTATAAAAGTCTCTCGTCCAAATAAAGAAATGCTCGTGAGAGCCTTCCAGAACGATCTAAAATCCAGTCATTTCAATGAATCATTAGCACAAAAGTCGGCCACTAGCATGGAGAAAGTAATGAATTTAGTATAATGTTAAATCATTGGAAAAGAAAGCAATATGGAGAAAAGGTCCCGAGATGCTGAAGAAAAGGTGCAATCTAGGCATGGGCCCAAGAAAGAGCACCACAAGTAAGGTATGAGAGAAAGGTCGACGATATGTGGTATGACAACTTCACAGAAAACTTTACCCCAATCAATGCAAAGCGTGCTAATATTTTGCAATAACTATCATCTCAAGCTAATATTTTGGAATCACCTGCAGGTATGCACTTGTGTTGTTGTTGTTTTCGCTGTTGAAGAAATTGTTGTTGTCGAGTTGCGTTGTATGTCAAAGTTGCGATGCGTGTCTTGTGTGTGTGCGAACCTGAAGCTATGTTGTTGATGTTGTTGATCTACAAAATTTGATTAGTGTATTTTTGTTGAATTCTGCAGGAGAATTTGTTGTGATATTGGAGTTGAAGATGATTGAATTGTTTGAATGTGAATATGAAGATTTGGTCGAAATTGAAGTTTTGAGGAAATTGTGCAGAGATTTTTTTGCTCTTGAAGCTTCCTTTGAAATGAGGAATTGAAGGTTCTATTTACAGAGGAGATAGAAGAAATTTGATGCGAAAAATTTGAATTGAAATTGAACGTGTGAAATGTTAATGCCGTTTTATATTGAATGAAATGCACTTTGCTTTGTAGCTTAGATTCATTGTGTGTT